ATCATTGGGATTTACCTACACCAGAATGGGCAGTTGGGAAAGAGCCTCCTATAAGACCTTGGAGGCTATACTTACTCCATGTAAAAAATGAAATAAACTCACCATATACTTTATAAGAGGAAGGAAAGTCACTTCCTATTCATTTACTGTTTCAAAAATGTCTTTTGGTGAAATTAGATGTTATCAATAACTGAAACAAGCATTCCTCCCCCATGTCCAATGTTTACCAGCATCTTCCCAAAACAGAAGAGGCATAAAAATAAATTAGGACTTTTTTTATTAAAGCCACTGCAGAAACCAGTTCAGCTACTTTTTTAAAAAAAATCTCACAAAGCAATGATTCCTTGAACTAACTAAGTGGTGCAGCAAGTTAAACTGCTGAGCTGCTGAACTTGCTGACCGAAAGGTTGGTGATTCAAATCCGGGAGTGAGGTGAGCCCCCACTGTTACCCCCAGCTTCTGCCAACCTAGCAGTTCAAAAATATGCACATGTGAGTAGATCAATAGGTGCCACTTCTGCAGGAAGGTAATGGCACTCCACGCAGTCCTTCTGGCCACATGACCTTGTAGGTGTCTATGGACAATGCCGGCTCTTCAGCTTAGAAATGGAGATGAGCACCACCCCCCAGAGTCGGACACAACTAGACTTAATGTCAGGGGAAACCTTTACCTTTACTATTAACTTTACAGCTGAAACACAATTCAACGGAAACATAAACATTTAGAGAGATATAGTAGATCCACCTAAAATACCAAGGAAGGAAAGAGAAACCCTTGGCTGGATAGGCCTATAGGAGCTGGGAAACCCAATTATAGTAAAAACACAGATGAAAAGATTGTGGCCTCTGTCCAATAGTTAATTTCAGCTAAATCCCACTGAATTGACTGCTAAATGGTAGATCGATACTCATGTAAATCCTATTGAATCAATGGATTTGCTCTACTTGGGACTAACAATGAGATGTAGGCCATATGTTGTAAAATCCTCGCTATGAAATTGGAAGAGTGCCTCACTTCACATAACTGAAGCCTCACACTAGTGTGAAGCTTTGGAATAGTCAGATATGGTGGGGGGCAGACTATCATTAGTATTGCTATATAGATAATTACAACTATACATGATCTATAACTATTACAACTGAATCAATCATTTGCTTCTCTGGCTCTAATTACATGGCTCTGTTCCTGTAAATGTGATGAATATAAAAGACAGGATAATTACCTACTAAACACCAACGTTAATAGATAATTGAAACCACTAAGCCACACATCCCAAATTAAATAAAGAGGATAACTTTATAAGGTTGGCTGTATTTGTCTGAGAGTGGGCTAAACCATCTCATGATGCAGGAAGATTTAGTCACAGCTAAATTACGATCCTAAATTTATATTTACAAGGCAGGAAATGCCACAGTGTTACTTATTCATAGGCCTGTTCCATTGAAACGTATGGGTCAGGCTACTTAGGACGAGCTTCAGCACCACTTCTTTCGTGGAGGCTTCCATAAACTCCTTTGTCAGTGGAATCCTCATTTGGTTTTATTCTGTTTTGAAGGAGCTATCCACAGTGCTGAAACTCTTTTGTGGGGAAAGGCTTGAATCTTGGCCTGTGACTCTCTAGAGTTCTTACTAAATCCAAGAGAAAGTTCTCCAACCTCACTGACAGGGAAGCCATCAACCATTACTGCATTCCATTTGGTGGGATTGGTCTTGGTTTTGTGTGTGTGTGCAAGTAGCTTCGGGTGTGAGAGAACTGCAAGGATGTTGCCCAGGGGATGCCCGGATGTTTGATGTTTTACCATCCTTGTAGGAGACTTCTGTCATGTCTCAACGTGGAGAGCTGGAGCTGATCGAGGGAGCTCATCTGCACTTTCCCTAGATTCGAACCTCTGACTCGATTCCCTAGATTCGAACCTCTGACTAGATTTGAAGGTCTTCAGTCCTTCAGGCACAAGAATTTAACCCATTGTGCCACCGGGGGCTCCTATTGTTCTTGGCTACCTTGTACTTTTAGAAAAGGGTGCTTTGTGGATGTCATGACAATATGGTGCAGTGGTTTGAGAATTGGACAACAAATCTAGAGGCCAGGATCTGAATCCCCATCAGGCCAAGAAAACCCACTGAATGAATCTGGGGGAGTCACACACTCTCAGAACCAGAAAATCCTAAGATCAGATCACCATCGGGTTGCCATAGATCAAAAATAACTTGAAGGCACACACAGTAAGAAAGGCAACATGGTCAAATTACTAGATCTTCTATGAGAGCTTCTTGGTGTTATCCTTCTCATCCCAACGCATTGCTTCTGCCACTTTAGCTCTGAAGTCACATTAGTGAAGAAAACCACTGTCTTATTTCTTCCTAACACCTGGTGCTAGGTTTAACCCATATTTTAAAACAGTAGTTCTTAACCTGTGGTCTTTGGACCACTAGTGGTCCCCAAGAACTAAAATATAGTCCATGGCCTCACCATTAGAGGCTGACTACCCACCATTAGAGGCTGACTACCCATGAAAGAATGACAACAAGCCGCCTTTTTGCTGCATTTCTTCCTCTTCCCTCCCCCTGAGCGAAGCCATTCCATGTGGTGCCTGGAAGCGGGGGAGCCTTGGTGTCTTCGTTTTAAGGCCTGCTCCTGGGGTTATTTGGGGTGCGAATTCAGAAATCACATTGGATAGATCACATCAGCTCTATATTATTAAGTATGGTTTTCTGTGGGCAAGTAGATGGTGACTATTGGATGGCATATGCTCTGTATCAGAAACTAGAGCTGATGTGGTCTAACCAATGCAATTTTCTGAATCAGCACCCCAAATAACCAAACCAAATCTAAAATTGACCTAAAACAGATTCATAACCCTTTTGGTACTAATGTTGGAGAGTGGTCCCCAGTCAAAGTGGTCCCTGGTCAAGTGGTCCCTTATCAAAAAAAAGTTTTGGAACCACAGTTTCAAAAGAAAAAAGCTCCTGATTCTTAAGAAGAGTACTTGTCTGGCTTTGCATTGCACTGAAGACAGAAATGCTATATGTGGCTCCATTGTAGTTACTTTTGGGAAAACATGAATATTGCTAGACTACAAATGGATTCACTCTTTAGTCCTGACAATTTCTGTAGAGCAGGTGGGAAAAAGTCAAGCCATCAGTTGCAAGGGGCCATAAAAAGCTATTATTGAAATATTCAAGGCTTCCCAAAATGGAAAAAATAAATGTCTCACTACTTGGTTGGGAGACTGCCAGTGAACACCAGGTACTATAAGCTATATTTCAGAAGATGAAACTAGTAAAATCACACCAGAGTATCCCTTAGGTCAAGAAAAACCCTACAAAATTCATTAGGTCACCATACATCAAGAGGCAACATGAAGGCATATGTACACGCATTCACTTTCTCTGTGCAGGTAATGTTTTGTTTACTTCCTGGGTTTAAAAAAAGCTTCTCCTGGCCTAAAATAACCCTGGGAGTAAAGAAAAAACAAGGTGAAATTGTCCCCAGTTCTCTCAGAGTATATACGGCTGAACATTCTGATTTGTTTTCATAAATAAAGGAAAATAAAAAGGGGGTTCAGTTCAGTTGTGTGACCCTCTCAAGTAATGAAACCCTGAGCAGTTGTTCACCCATCTTGGCACAGAAAGGAGATAGGGAAACAGCATTCCTATTTCACAGGATCCTGTGAACAAACCTCAGTGAGACTTCCCTTATGAACAGCATCAGGCTGCATCTCTGTACCTGAGAACTGGGAATTGGGACCAAACAATGCCAGTGAGAGTTATTTTTGAGTAGACGCATAGAAGGTAGTACCACATAGGATCAAGCAAGCATGTGCCAAGATTGAGCTAAGGAAGATTGGCTGCATTCTAAAAAGTGTAGATGTGTCAATGTAGATGGATGGACAGACAGACAGACAGATCTATAGATCGCTTTTAGGCAAGTCATATACTGTTGGTCAGTGTTTCTCAACCTGGAGGTCAGGACCCCTGGGGGGGCTGCAGGGGTGTGTCAGAGGTATCATCTGTTGGTCATGGAGGTTCTGTGTGGGAAGTTTGACCCAATTCTATTGTTGATTGGGTTCAGAATGCTCTTTGATTGTAGGTGAACTATCAATCCCAGCAACTACAACTCCCAAATGTCAAGATCTATTTTCCCTAAACTCCACCAGTCTATTTTTCCTAAACTCCACCAGTGCTCACATTTGGGTATATTGTGTATTCGTGCCAAGTTTGATCCAGATACATTATTGTTTGAGCCCACAGTGCTCTCTTAAGGGGGAAAAGGAAGGGGCCTGAGGCCAGGCATGTAGCCAGGGGGGGGGGGCTCGGGGGGTTTCAGCCCCCCCCCCCGAAATTCTCATGGTGGTTCGTGAAAAGGCCTTACTGGTGCATTATTTAAACTGTTGTTTATTCATATCATGATCTGATCACCATACTCAATATATCTCATATGCATGGGGGTATTGGGGTAATGATACAAAAGGTTTGCTAGGCTAGACCCTCTTTCACTCAGACTCAGCCCCCCCCCCCGAAACTCAGCCCCCCCCAACCCCCCCCCCCCGAAAAATTTTTAGCCCCCCCCCCAAATGAAATCCTGGCTACGGGCCTGCCTGAGGCTATTAGGAATTGTGGGAATTGAAGTCCAAAACACCTGGAGACTTGAAGTTTACTCAAATTTGCATGCTTTTGTACTGCTAGGTTGGCAGAAGTTGGGGCTAACAATGGGAGCTCACCCCACTTCCCAGATTTGAACTGCTGACCTTTCAGTCAGCAAGTTCAGCAGCTCAGCAGGGGGAAAGGAAGGGGTCTGAGGCTGTTAGGAATGGTGGGAGTTGAAGTCCAAAACACCTGGAGGGCCCAAGTTTGTCCATGTCTGATAGAGACACACAGAGACACACAACTATGTTGTTTGCTTTTTCACTTGCTGAACAGTGGTGCCTTGACACAAATAAAAGTCTGCTTCTGACAGTATTCCTAGGAATCCAGGGCAACGTGAAGCAGGGTGTTCCTACCTGAATTCTGGCAGGAGGTTGGGCTGCAAGCCATAGAAAGCGGCGGAGAGGCTGAGGAGCCAGGCGGGCTTGTAGGCGCCGTCCTCGCAGTCCAGGAAGGGCGGAGACCACTGGACGTGTCCCTTGTCTCCCTTCTTGCGGGCTCCCTCGGCCAGGGGGCCCTTGCGGGGCGGGTGGGGCCTCCCTTTGCGCCTCCAGGCGTGGATCCACTCGGTGTCCCGGTGGGCGGCTGCGGCGGAGAGGTCCTGGAGCAAGACGCGGCTGTCCTGGCGGATGGCCTGGAGCAGGACCTGCTGCGGGTGCTCCGGGCTGAGCGTCAGCGCCGCCCGGAAGATGCCCGGGTTGCCTTCCAGGAGGGTCCGGACCAGGACCCGGTACCAGTCCAGATCGTCGGACAAGTTCTGCTCGCGGCTCTGGTTGCTCTGCAGGAGGGTGCTGAGGAAGTTGGCGGCGTGGAGGAGGGCGTCCAGGGCAGCCTGGAGCGGCGGGTGGGAGGCCAGCGAGCGGGGCTTCCCGGCCCAAGGGCCCAGCTCGAAGCGCCCCGAGCAGTTGGCCCGCTTCAGCTCCCGGGAGTCGCCGTAGCGGAGGAAAGTGGCCACGGCGGGGGGCAGCTCCCGGGAGAGGCGCTGGGCCAAGGCAGGGGCGCCCTCCTCCTTCTCCTCCTCCTCCTCCATGGCTGCGGATCGCCTCCAAGGAGCCGTGGCCCGGCTGGGACCCTTCGCCGCGCCGCCCCCAACCAGAGGGGCCACGCAGAGCAGGAAGAGGAGGGCGGCCAGGAAGGGGAAGGAGAAGAAGGGCGGCCGCCGACCCATGTCCTCCGCCGGGCGAAGCAGAGCCCCTTCCTTCCTTCCTTCCTTCTTTCCCTTACAATAGGAGACCCATGGTGTGAGGGAGACCTAGATCCGGAGCAAGGAGCGGAGTCACCTGTAGCGAGCCCGCACAATCCCAAAAAGATGCGTGAATGCTTCAGTTACGCAGCCGGGGCCATCCCTGCCGCGGGCGAGAGGGCGATGCTCTTCTGCCTGCTTCTCCTCTGCCAACAGGGCTCTTTCTCCCCCATCCGCTCTTCTCTTTTAGTCCTCGCCTGCCTTCTGCTGCTGCTGCCGCTGCTCCTCTTCCTCCTCCATTGCCAACCTCCCCGAGCCGCGGAATCCCGGGTGCAAACCCTCCTCGGAGGAGTTCTCTTCTCTGGGAAAAGTGGGCAGAGGGAGGGGAGGCAAGGCGGAGCGAGGGCTTCGCCAGGAGATGCTTCCCTCGGGTCCCCCGCCAAAGGAGGCACCTTCCCTGCCTTCCCTTCCCGACTGTCGCCGGCGTTTGGCCAAGCTGCTCTGCCAGCCCCGATCTGGCGGCCGCCCCGCCCCTTTCTCCCCGAGCCTCCCGCCCATTGGCGCGCTCCGGGCGCCTCGAGCGCCGGCTGGACGCCTGCCCTGTCAATCAGGGAACAGCCCTGGAGGGAGCTGTCCAAGTGCTGAAAGAGCAGCAGGAGGAGGACAGCGCCTCGCAGGCTTCCAGGAGGGAAGGAAGGCACGGGGGGGGGGGGGGGGATTGGCCCTGTCTGCCTCACCTGAAGACTCTGCCGCCTCAGGAGAGATAGGGGGACCTTCCACACAGCTGAATAAAATCCCACATTATCTGGTTTGAACTGGAATATATGGCAGTGTGGACTCAGATAACCCAGTTCAAAGCAAATATTGTGGGATTTTCTGCCTAGATATTCTGAGTTATATGAGTGTGTGGAAGGGCCCCCAGTTCAAGCAGATATTATGGGATTTTCTGCCTAGATATTCTGGGTTATATGGGTGTATGGAAGGACCCCCAGTTCAAGCAGATATTATGGGATTTTCTGCCTGGATATTCTGGGTTATATGGTTGTATGGAAGGACCCCCAGTTCAAAGCAGATATTGTGGGATTTTCTGTCCGGATATTCTGGGTTATATGGGTGTGTGGAAGGGCCCCCAGTTCAAGCAGATATTGTGGGATTTTCTGCCCAGATATTCTGGGTTATATGAGTGTATGGAAGGGCCCCCAGTTCAAAGCAAATATTGTGGGATTTTCTGCCTAGATATTCTGGGTTATATGGGTGTTTGGAAGGGCCCCCAGTTCAAGCAGATATTTTGGGATTTTCTGCCTAGATATTCTGGGTTATATGAGTGTGTGGAAGGGCCCCCAGTTCAAAGCAGATATTGTGGGATTTTCTGTCCGGATATTCTGGGTTATATGGGTGTGTGGAAGGGCCCCCAGTTCAAGCAGATATTTTGGGATTTTCTGCCTGGATATTCTGGGTTATATGGTTGTATAGAAGGGCCCCCAATTCAAAGCAGATATTGTGGGATTCTCTGCCTGGATATTCTGGATTATATGGTTGTATAGAAGGGCCTCCAGTTCAAAGCAGATATGGTGGGATTTTCTGCCTGGATATTCTGGGTTATATGGCCTGTGTGGAAGGGCCCCCAGTTCAAAGCAGATATGGTGGGATTTTCTGTCCGGATATTCTGGGTCATATGGGTGTGTGGAAGGGCCCAGAGATCCAAGCAAGGAGTCTTCTCCCCTCGCAATCCCCGTTTCTCCTTTTAGAACTGCAGGGTTGAACCCAGGACGATGGCTACATCCTCCTCCTTCTCCCCCCACCTCCAGATATACCTGCCTGAGTATTTCTTCCAGCACTGAATAAATACTATCTCTGCTATCAGTGTCCCGGGAAAAAGTAGGAATTTATTTTATTTTCCTTTTTTAATTAAAAAACTGGTTTTATTGGGCGAATTAATTAACAAAGTATGAATAGAGATAATGGGAAGAAACAAGGGGATAGCGACACCTGCTGGCTGAAGCAGGCAGACTCCCTTCAATCAAAACAAAGCTCAGGGGTGAGGAAGAGAGGAAAGCAATAGCATTAAACGTTCTGCTCAGTACCACGAGAAATATTTCGACTTTTTATTGCCTTCCTTACATTTGGATGCAACCAGGCAGGAGAGTAGAAGATTCCTAGCATTGGATGGATTCAGGAAAGAACCTGTATCGCGCCTGATATCCTATCCATGTCTAATTTGTACATAGGTAAAGGTAAAAGTTTCCTCTTGACATTAAGTCTAGTCCTGTTGGACTCTGGGGTGGTGGTGCTCATCTCCATTTCTAAGCCAAAGAGCCAGCATTGTCTGTAGACCCCTCCAAGGTCATGTGGTCGGCATGGCCCCATGGACTGCTGATACCTTCCTGCAGAAGCAATACCTATTGATCTACTCATATTTGCATATTTTCAAACTGCTAGGTTGGCAGAAGCTGGGACTAACAGCATGAGCTCACCCAGCAACTTCAGCAGCCCAGTGCTTTAACTCGCTGCACCACCGGGAGCTCAATTTGTACACACACACACACACACCCTTAAATTCAGCATTCAGCAGTCATGATTCTTAAAAAAGCTCAACATTTCTATATACTGTGTTATAAAAAAATGTTGTACATTGCAGCCAATGTGCGCTTTGATGCTATACAGTCACATACCTTAAGCCCCTGGTTGACAATGGGGATTGAATACATGCTGCAGCACAGCCTTAATACTATCTGTGCACTGGCACCAGAATAGGGGGAATTAATAATTAGAGCTACCTCAACAATTTTTAAGCACAAGAGTTATTATTATTATTATTATTATTATTATTATTATAACTTTATTTGTACCCTGCTAGCATCTCCCGAAGGACTCGATGCGGCTTACATAGGCCAAGACCTCAAAACACAACAATACAATAACTAAAGCAAATTAAAAACAGTTAAGCAGTATGAACAACAAACAATAAACAATACATTAAGACACTATAAAACTGGTCCGGGCCAGAGTAATGGGTACAAGGTTAAAAGTGCTGATGTGGCAGAGGTATGTAGGATTATAAGTAAATGCAGTGTGCAGAGTGTAGCAATCTTAATTCTACTAAAGTGCTTCTAGGACTTGGTATTGGAGATTCCTAATCTGAGAAGGCACATCGGAATAGCCAGGTCTTCAAGTTCTTTCTGAAGACTGCCAATGTAGGGGCCTGTCTGAGATCTTTTGGGAGGGCATTCCAGAGTCGGGGGGCCGCTACAGAAAAGGCCCTGTCTCGAGTCCCCACCAAGCGCGCTTGCGACGCAGGCGGGATCATGAGCAGGGCCTCTCCAGATGACCGAAGTGAACGCGTGGGTTCGTAGACGGAGATGCGTCATTAGCAGGCCAAAGGGAGGCAAAATATTCTTCCTACTCATTATCGTGTAAACATTCTTAAATAGGGAGGCTCTTACAAGCACAAAATGTACATGGAAGCATCCTCTTGAACATTGGGAATAACTTCCTGACTGTGAGAGTTGTTCAGCAGTGGAACTCTCTGCCCCAGAGTGTGATGGAGGCTCCTTCTTTGGAGGCTTTTAAACAGAGGATGTTGGGGGTGCTTTAAATGCAATTTACCTGCTTCTTGGCAGGGGGTTGGACTGGGTGGCCCACGAGGTCTCTTCCAACTTTTTGATTCTATGTACTCAAGGTAGATCACTTCCAAATATGTTTGCAGAAGATAGATTTCAGCCTTTGTTATTCCCAGGATTGCTGAAGGGCAATCACTGCCTTAACATTTCTTGGTACTGGGACATTTAGTATCCTTTGTTGAACAATTCTTCCTCCCTTTTCTATTTCTGAGAAGACTCAGACACATAGGATTCTTGGTAGTTCTAGTTTTACTACATTACTTCAGGGGTGGGCTCATCATCCCCAGCCTAGTGTTTCAGGGCATTCAGCCTCTTGCTGGGCTAGTACATATTTCATATTTGCCATTTGCATGCATCATGCTTGGAGCCCCCGGTGGCACAATGGGTTAAACCCTTGTACTGACAGGACTGAAGACCAACAGATTGGAGGTTCGAATCCAGGGAGAGTACAGATGAGCTCCTTCTGTCAGCTACAGCTCCCCATGCTGGGACATGAGAGAAGCCTCCCATAAGGATGGTAAAACATCAAAAATATCCAGGTGGGCAACATCCCTGCAGATGGCCAATTCTCTCACACCAGAAGAGACTTGCATTTTCTCAAGTCGCTCCTGACATGGGAAAAAAACATATCACACTTCACCTTTGGCTAGCTAGAATTGTAGAGCTTGTTTTTAAAAGGTACCAAATCCATCTGAACCAATTTTACAGGAACTGAAGAAAATGTGCTGAGGATATGTCTTCTTTTGCTATAAAATGCAATTTTCCAAGCATTGTGCAGAAGGGAACTGATATATTTTGATAGTTTTGATCTATACATGCTACAAATGTATCGATTCGCTTCTGTACAATGCTTGGAAAATTGCACCCACAACTCATTTTTCATTATTATTATTATTTTTTAATTTGGTACTTTTTGGGAACAAACTCCACAAATCAGCAATATCTGGACAGAAACACCTCTATCCTTTTCTTCAGTGGTGTTACAGTGCTATTGTGTTAATAATGCTACTTGGACTGGGATGGCTGATGTGATTTAAAAACCTCATACATTTCTTGCCCAATTTCAAAAGCCCTCTCTATTAGTGATTAAGTCTGTTTCTTGATGGGAGCAATCTTGCCATTCTACAGCAATTTTGTACTGGGCAGAAAAAGAAAGAAAGTGGTTTATTTATTTATTTATCGTGTCAGAAGCAAACTGAAGGTATAATTATCATGTATTTAAAACACACAAGCAAAGTTATAAACTTGGCATTATACTAAATGTCCTTTGACCAGAAACTGGCCACTTGGAGTGCCTCTGGTGTCACTGTAAGAAAATCCTCCATTGTGCATGTGGCAGGGCTCAGGCTGTATTGTAATAAGTGGTCTGTGGTTTGCTCTTCTCCACAATCGCATGCTGTGGACTCCACTTTGTGGCCCGATTTCTGAAGATTGGTTCTGCACCTTGTGGTGCCAGAGTGCAATCTGTCTTCTGTGTGCCCAGGGGGGAGTCTCTCATCCAGTATCAGCCATGGATTGAGGTTCTGGGCTTTAGCCTGCCACTTTTGGACTCTCACTTGCTGAGGCATTCCTGGGAGACACGATAGAAGCCTTCCCGCAAGATTGTAATACATCCAGGTGTTCACTGGGCAATATCTGATTCTCTCGCACCAGAAGCGACCTGCAGCATCTAACCAAACAGAAAGAGGCTGAAAGTGATAAAGAAAAGGAAGAGGGAAGGTAGGAAAGGTGCCCCTGCGCATTTTTGCTTAGCTCAACTCACCCCTCTATTGCAGATTCCAATAAATTGCTCCTAAAGAAATTCAGAAAGGTTTGCAACCTTTGGTATTGAAACAGCTATTGGCGAATGCATTCAAACACTTTAACTGTGAATTTTGT